CCAGGCACCCAACTTGTGACTCTAACGGGATCATTGCAGTTCTCTTCTTTTGTCTTTTCGCACAAGAGAGATTCAAGTAATTAGGGCAAAAAAAACCCTTTCTAATTATGTATATGTGTGTGTGTGTGTGTGTGTGTGTGTGTGTGTGTGTGTAGAAACGTTTGTATCAGCTGAAAACTAAAAAGAGTTAGAAATGGAAAGAGAAAAAACTTGATCATGGAATTATGGAGTGAAGAAAGATTTTACTATATAAAAGAAAAGCCACACAATCACATCTCCTCTCCCCACATAATAGTCTCCCTGTTCCAAAATGTTCACATGCATGTTATTCCCAACTGTTTTCTTTTGAGACAGATAAAGGGGGGGGGAGGAACCCAATAAAGAGGCATGGCAAAGATACCTGGATCTGAGCGATAATAGAAATCAGTCCTTATACTTCACCAGTTGTAGGGTTTTCATTTAAAAGCAAACTGTTTTTGTAAGGAGTGGCTTCGATGGTCGCTGGGGAGCTGTCCAGCAATAGGAGTTCCTGAAAAAAGCACAACATCTGGTCACTCAGAACCTCACCCTTAACCGATTCAATTACGATGATCTTCCCATTTAATGAAGGCTCAAAGCACTTTAGGCACATCTTCCCTGCCATAACCTCAGAACAATTCCTTTAAATCGCTCTGCAGTATCTTCTACACTTGGATGCTGAGGACTGAGAACAGAACATTTTGTCGTAAACACAACACTTGGTGAGAATCGCTGGGACGGATTCCTCATTCAATCTCTTAAGCACTGAGCTGCCTTTTCTCTCTTACCATGAGTGGAATCATCTTTAAGCTATTCTCACTTTTGGCAAAGTGCCTTTGAAGTAATCCATAGGACAATCTCAGTTTATGGGACAGTCCAACCCCTCCAAAACTCTCCTGCCCCCCCCCCAAATATGTTAAAATGCAACCCCCATAATTCTTAGAAGCAAGTGATGGTGATTGTGCACTGGAATCGGAGGCAAATGGAAGAGATGGACCGAGAGAAGCTTGGTGGTCCTAGTCTCGTCTCCCGTTAGCTTTTCAAAAGCAGTGTTCGTGGGAGAAGCAACCACGGATGTCCCACCATGGGCGACCCCTGACGGGCCATTCATTCCAGTCTTCTGCTTGGAATGCCCAGGAATGGCACTGAAGGCTTTAATGCAATGTGGCAATGATAGAAGTGCAATGAAACAAAACTAAAAGAAAAATCCTAAACTAGTTAGAAAAGGAAAATAAATTTAAGAAATTGATCACAGAGAGAAGAGCAAGTTTACGCTGCTGTCACAAATATAACGTTTGTAATAATATTGCTGTTAAAGGTGCCCTGTTTGTTCCTTGTTTACTTTGCTTCATTTTACCTCCCTCCTTTCCTTTCCTTTCCTTTCCTTTCTTTTCCTTTCCTTTCCTTTTCCTTTTCCTTTCCTTTCTTTTTCCTTTCCTTCTCTTTCCTCCCCTCCCCTATTTCCCTCTCTTGCTTACTTTAAATTCTATAAAGATCCAACAGCTCCTTCATCCAACTACCTTTCTCTACATCTTATGGAATACATATATATATATATATACATCATCTGTCATTCGGCTCGTCACAAGTCCATCACAAGTCCATCACGACAGAAACCCAACATTTTTACTGTTGCCTTTGTTATATTTGTGTTTTTTTTACTATTTTTACTATCAGCACAAATAAAAACACACACACACACACATATATATATATATATATATATATATCTGCCAG